ACGCTGCCGTCTGTTTATGCTTTAACACCACTAGCGCAGCACAGATTTAATACATCTTCGCGATGCGACGCTGACAATGAAATGACACTTTAGCCACAGACACACAACAACACAAAAAAAACACGTCAACGAGAAGAAAGTAAAAGATATGTTGAAATAAAAAAGAAAAACTCGTTTCGTTCGCTGCTTCTTTGCCTAACTAAATACGCGACCGACTGAATAACTATTAAATAGCGTACTGGACTGAGAAGTGGCGGACAAACGACTGACCGCGCGCACAGCACTTGGACTGCCTGTCTGACTACTTGAACGCCTGCCTGCTTGCGCGCTTTCTTGCTTGCGTGACTGCCTCCTGGGCTAACTCGCTGGCTGACTTGCTGACTGGCGGCTGACTATAGCGTATCTCTCGACACGGCAGCGAGGCAGAGCACTACCAGCTCATATATAGAGTATTACATGGTTATTTTAAGTGGAAAGGAAGCAACACAGTCAGATCCAGAAAGGCAAACCGGCCGCGACTGCGATCGATGCTGAGTTGAATTGAGTTACTTTATGTTTAGTGGATCAGCAACGGGCGCGGCTGACAAGAAGAGGGTAATGGATTATTGAAGTTATGCGAAACAAAGTGGAGCTCGGCGTAAAATGTATTATGTGCATATGTGAACCGGCTATTGGCAGTCACATCGGATCACTAAGATGAAATTTGTAAAACGCTTACTGTGTGCATGATGCGAATATACAACAATGTACATACATATATGAATGGTTGTGTGGTAATTACAGAGCGCTTGCGATAAAAAAAATCGAACAATCAAAGCAAGCAGACGTCACGTCATTACATTAATTTTGCATCGATTTGTAACGAAAATCGAATTTCGCGGCCTGGCAAACCACAAAAGCGGGAAGCCGAGATGCGCTACGAAACCGCAGAAACGATGTGCTTTCGAAATGTGGCTAAACGCAGAAATTGTGCACACCAACTTATTTGCTGAGCCTTTGGACCTCACGCCTCTTTGGAAGTTAAAAAAAAAAAAAAACATAAAATTAGCGGACAAAAATCGAAAGCAATACTATCTAAATAATTCTTCAAATTCCTATATACAAATGTAGGTACATATATACAATGTTTACAACCGATTCATCTCACATCACAGCTGGTCTAAAAGCCTCCTTCCCTCTTTCCACCAAATCATAACGTGGCAAATGGCGCTCGCTTCCGCCAGCCAAAAAACGGCAAACGCTCACCGAAAAGCGCAGTTACCCACGGACGTAAAAACGAAGAACGTGTCAGCTGACACGATCTATCTTATGGGATCTGCGTCGAACAAAAATTCAGCACCGCATGACCTTTCCATCAACAGCACACTTGATATCTTTCTACGTACTGCTACGCTACGCTACGTATACGTTCGTGGGTAACCGCGCTCGAACATGCACAAACACTCCCACGTTGCGATCGTAGCTGTTGAGAAGTAGCCATCGCGTACATGCATACATACTAAACTTAATTTGCGAAGCATTTTCTAAAAATATCTTTTATTCTAAATTTTTGTGATTAGGTGATCGTGATGAACGCGCAATTTGCCTTGGAGTAGGTGAATTTGTTGCGTGGCAGCGCAAAAATCTCCGACTTACATACATACATACATATGCACACCTATACACACACAGTTAGATAGGCATAAATATCATATACATATGTATGTAGCAAGAATGTTGCTATTCGTTCGCTTATTTTTTTTTCATTTAAGCATAAATAAAAATAATTTCTGTTACAAAAAAAGTGTTTTCATTCCGCCCGCCAATTGGATGCTTCTCCACCAGCTTTATTACTTTTTTTCTAATTTTTTTTTTGTTGTGTTTTTCACCGATATATTTTATTGTGAGCTTTTGCGCTTCTCGTCTTTCGCGCATATTTTAGACTTTTATGATTTTTTACCCACATGCGCAGGCACACATTCACACCAAGAATGATAGAGAAGAAGATTGCGCCCTCAACGTTCCGCTATCTTTGTTTTTGGTTTGAGTTTGACAGCCAGCTGCTTTAACGTGACGTCATAAGCGAAACGAAAATTTACCACAAAGAGCAACAAACTAACAATGAAGTGAAAAGAGCTGATTTTTACAAAGTTAGTGTTCGGTGACAAGTTCCAATAACGATATTTCAGACAAATCGTTGATGAACAACTATTTTTCATTCCCGTTTGCTGTGGCTTTGGCATTATTTGCAAGAACTATTCACTAAAATTGTAACTAAGGTTTTAATATCTATTAATTCTTTCCGATAATCAGCAATGTATGTGTGCAATCAAAATTTTAATAGAAAACACAAAATCACTTCGATTTTATTTAGATATTTATTTTGGTCCACAGCTTTTCCAATTAGGCAACTTTTGATAGCTTTTGGTCACATATTTGCCTGGCACATTTACTTAACTTTTTCTTCTAACATTTCTCATAACAAACTAATACATAGTGTTTATTTTACAATATTACGTGAATGTTCGCAATTTTGTTTATCATTTGTATAGGATTTTGTCACTTCTTCTTTGTACGTTATTCGTACTGTTTCGTTCATAACGTCACAGCAAGGCTGAGGGCGCAATCTCCTTTTCTATCATTCTTGCATTCACACGCTAATATTACATTAGTGTTCTTCTGTTTTTCGTCTCTTTCTTTCGTTCTTTCGTTTTACATTTTCCATTACGCGTTTATGTACATTTTTTTTATTATTCGTTAGTTTTTTCGACCTACGTTTGAGAACGTAAATTCTTCCAGGTTTTGTTTTTTCATTTTGCATTATTTTAAATATTTTTGTTTATTAGACCTCCGCAAGGGCCATCATGATCATCAGCCAGTCACTGTTGCTGTTGTTGAAATCACTTTCGTCGTCGCACTCGTTAGCTTCGTTTGACGTTTATGATTAAAAGTAGCGAATAATAAACGGCGAAATAAAAATAAATAGGTATCACTCACAAATTGCTAACGCAGCGAACGACCTCGTGGCTTCTTACCGAAGAAACTCTAGTACAGGCCCTACTTGCTTTCTAGTTGGATGCGAACAGACAACTGACGATGTACAGCGGATCCCAAAAGCGCCACAGCCCGTATCGACAGCAAAAGTAAGAGCAACCACTAAAGCTACACATATACAAACGTGAGGCGGCAGCAGCGCCAACAACGCAACGCTTACACATCGACCATGTGGATGGCGAGGTGTCGTCGTTTAGTCGTTTCGTATCAACGTCGTAGTATTTGTCGTACATAAGTCTCGTCTCGTCTCGTCTCGTCGGCTAACAGCGCCATATGGGGCGAAATAGCTGTACGTTTTAGCAATTCAGGCTCCACCAGCTTCGTAGCGATAACTGATTGTGTCGGTGGTTGCAAAACCGAATGCGGCAGCAGCAAGAACAACAAACAGCGCAAAAATCGCTATAACCAACAGCACGTCAATGGCAACGGGTACGGCTACGGTGGCGACGTGTCCAATAACGATGACGTCGCCAGCAACGTCTGCGCCAACGTTGATAGCGTCGCGCGACCCCAACAGTCGCACACGTACAGCCAGCCCCATACTCAATGTGCCCAATCAGCCGATTTGGCGGTGGCGTGCTGGAGCAGCGTTACGTTGTCATACATTCCAAAAGCATTCATTCTCAAATTCGCTGGCCGTGGGCGCAATGCTGGACAGTGCTGTTTAGTGGGCGCTAAAGTTTGTTGTGTTCATTTCTCTTTCGCGCAATTGAGTTCGCGCTCATACTCTCAATTATGGTTTGGCGGTGGGCGCTATCCGCGCGCGCTCGTTTTGTACTTATCAAGCACAGTGGCTCACAAGTGCACAAAATTACCAGACTCTACATACTTACTAACTAGTAAAAAGTGGGGCACATTCAGCTTTTAGGGCTTTTGTCATCGAAAGTTCAGTAAAGTTGTGAAATATCGTGAAACCACGTTCTGTGGGGGGAGGGGGCGTGGCATTTTTGTTCGCCGTTAGCCTGAAACTTTGTTTGGATTCAAACGTATCGGAGAGGTCCTTCCCAATCCTGATAGAGCTTGGTGTAGCTTAGCGTCACGCGGGAATACCAAATTCAGATAACGCGGCATATAAGTAACTCCGTTTCATGATGTGAAGAACGGTCTATGGTGTATTGACGAGGTCTAAAGATCCAATCAGTTCAGACTTTCATACGATGTTTATGTAACTGGTTCCATGGTGTTTTGTCAGACTTCTCGCCGCAGCACTTGAATAGCTCAGCTGGCAAGCTATTCGCGAAATTGCTATAATTTCCTCATCATGGCCGGGTGGTGCGACATCGACTCGGCGGACTTTGAATGGAGACTCGGATTTATCTCCTCCGTTTATTTAATTTAATAATGTAAGCGCGCAGGACATCTCTGGCTAGGTTGCCTTTGTTTTTCTAACAGTAGTTTGCGCTCGTCCTGAAGCCTTCAGTACGTCGCCTAAATTTGTGATAAAATGTTTTCCAGTTCTTCCTTTCGGGCTGCTATTTAAACGCTTCGCACTCACTAATCTTGACCGCTCTCCTTTTATAACGAAAAATACAGTCCGCTTTCCGCTTTAGTTCCTTATATTGATCCCACATAACTCGCGTTGGGCCCGATCGAAGCGTTGTACTATAGACGTAGAGTATTATATTTGCAGCGACTTTACACTGCCTGTCGTACTAATTGATCTTTCAGGCTCTCCGAAATTTCTTCGCATCGTTGGATGCAAATTTTTGCTGCACTGAGGCGTATACGTATCTTGGCTGTGGCAGGGGGTAAATCCAGTGAGACTTCTGGATAGGATAGCAGTTCGTAGCATTAGTTATGGATTGGGGTTGTTTGCATTCACTGACTCTCAAACAAAATGACGAGACATAAAGTTGCATTG